GATTCTTTTTTACTCAGTTTATTTGCTGTCTAGCTTTCCTGAGAAGTGGGGCTTATGTTTTCCATTTAAGCTCTCATCAATTCTTCTATAACAACAGTTTATACCTGTTTAATCTTTTTTTTTTCGCCTCGTTAATCCAATTAAAAAAGTAGTAAAAAAATATCCCGGTTGCCTTTTAAACAAACACAAAAAAAAATTGAAGCCAATTTATAAACTTCCGTAGACTAAGGATAATAAAAAAAGAAAGAAAATGTAAAAAAGACACTAATTTGTTCAGTGTAATACTTTTAAAATGTTACTTAAGACTTCATAGAATATAAAAAGCGTCAACTTTCTTTTTTCTACAGCTCGTACTATCAACAAAATATCTGCGAGTGACGTAAGAGCATTTCTGGACGAGATCGCCAGAAAAGATGTAAATGGAATGGACCAGAATGATGCCGCTGCCGTTGATAAAGAGCTCCAAGCAGTAGTTGATAATATGCGCGCCGCAGACGTGGACAAGCCAACTGACTATGAGATTAACTGGGGAAACAAACGTTCTGGAACCGCGGATACCACCAAAACACCGTAAGCGTCTGTTATAATTGAAAAAGTCGTCTAAGCGTGACTTTTTGTAGAAAATAAACTTCATAGTTTATTGACCTTCTTTGGCTTTTTCAGGCTTTACACCAGAGTTAATGAAGACCTCTTTCAAAGACCAGTTTACAAAGCCTTGATCAAGATGTATGACGCCAAGGTGTTCTCTCCAGACGTAAGCCTTATACCAATACTTTCTATTTCTATTTAAGATAACACCTTTAAGGTTTCTAAATTTCATTTTTGTTTTCGAAAACAGAGGGAATGTTTTAGGTTTGTGTTAAAGAGCCCGACATGAACGGTTTCAGAAAGCAGTACATTCTTAATGTATTTGACACCTTCACAAACACAACTGTTTTCCAATTAGCTTTCAAATATCTACAGAGCATTGGTAAGAAAATAATAGTTGCAAAACAATTTTACGTTTTCTCTTTTTTTTTTCAACGTTAAAATCTGTTTAGGCAAAGCTGGAGACTGGGCATCATTCCGACCGAAATTGTGGACACTATGGATGGGTACTTACAGTCGATGCTCAGGAACCCTGGGAAGCTCAGGTTTCCTTCAGTTTTCCAAAACAGATTTAAAACTGAAAATTGAGTGGTAATTTTCTTTAATTTTAACTACTTCTGCTGAATCAATATTTTTAGGATTTGAACATGTATTCTCTGGCGAATGGAAAGGTTCGAAAGTTGACGGTCATCACAGCTGGGTGAACTACTACCGACAAGAGAAGGCTGGCGATATTAACTACCACGGCTACGTCTCCTACGATGACGTAAGTCTAATCAGATTAAAAACGCGTTTCTCAAGCGTCATCTTTTTGAAATAAAAATTCTCGACAACATTGTAGATAAAAGAACGAAAATAAAATAAATGCAGTTTAATCATACTAAATGCTTTTAAATATTTCTAGAAACTCACTGGCACATTCCAATATACTTGGGGAAAATACTTGAAGAAAACCGGTGGCTTCAACACTGGAACTTCACCAGGCATGCGTTAAGGACACTTTAACTGATATAATCAACAGATTGTTAAATCGTTTTTGTTATATTATTCTGAGTTTCAAATTCTAATTTCTGATTGTTTATAAAGCCATATTTTAGCTTTTGACTTCTCACTATTCTCAATTTGCGCCTTGACGAAGACGGGTGGAAAATGTAGGTATAACCTCGATGGATTCCCAATGGGTGTTACCGCATACGTCCAAAGCTGTAACGAAGGAACATGTTTGTCTACCGCGTATCCAACGAACAACTAAATGAATTTTGAAATGAACGTCTCGCATGTTTCAAAGCAATCTTTTTGCTGTACATTTTGGAAAAGTTTTGAATAAACCTTTACTTGTGCAGTAATAACTGAGTTCTTACAAAAGAAAGAGAAAAAAACAGTGATATGACAGCACGTATAAGAACCCCGGTTTTTCTTTAAAAAAGCTTTATTGTTCAGCTTTACAGTAGAGCGAATTTCCTATCCGAGAAGCAGGCTTGCACGGAAAAACTCGATGAAGAAATAAATTGAAAAACTTTTGCAGATAATGGGTGAAGCAAATTTCACTCTAATATTATTGACAAGAAGTGAATTAAAGTAGTTTACTAATTTGGTACAAAATAATACTTTTTTTGTTGCTTTTTAACTTTTGAAAATGAATAAATGCACCTTTTTATTATTACTTAAAGACTTTTTTCTGACTAATTTGGTCTAAGGTGAAAAAGTTGACAGTTGCGAGTAAACATCTCATCCAAGTTACAGCTGGCTTGGCTGTTCCAAGTATCTTACGATTAAAATGCAGTCTTTTATAGAAAAAACCGCTAGGTGAGAAAAAAAACATTGTGAATAATTATCTTAGTTAACATCTAAAAAGATTGACATTCAAGCAGACCAAAGTTCCTCCTTGGCAGAACAGCTATCAACAAGAAACGGAGGTCATACAAATAGAACAGAAGTTTCATTTGGAAACGCAGTGATTGACAAGTTTAATTTTTTTTTCATAATTAAACCGTTGTTTAACTTTGTTAATTGAATTCAATTTCAGCACGTTTTAGAAGTTTAACATGGTAAGAAACATGATAATTTTATTGTCATTCTATGACAATAAGACATCTTAACAAGCCTTCCTTATTAAACCAGATACAAAAACGACCCTAAAATAGCAAAAAATAAAAGTTGAAGCTAAAATATTGTTTAAGAATTTTATTTAATAATTAAGAGATATTTCAATGTAGTCTTCTGATCAATTTTCTATTAGAAGACTTGGCATCTATCAATATTCCTAGTTTATACGATATCTATAGGTTAAGTACATCAATAATGATTTTTGAAAAAGTTTTCTTTGTTCAGTAGGACACTAAATTTGTAACTGATCTACATTTAAACATTATTTGTACCAAGTAGTCTTAGAGTAAAATGACAAATATTGTAATTAACAGATCATTACAGATCTTTTTGAAAAAATTTTTTGCCATATTTCTCGGTAGGTTTATTGAACTGTTTGCTTTATCCATCATTGATTGTCGACCGTTAATTGAGTTCATGCAAGATTCTGACATTTGGTAATTTATTGTGTAACATTTAAATTTACTAATAAAGCAATAAAGCAATAATGCTTCAGGCGGTGAACTTTGTTTGCTACAGATTGTGGTGATCTTTATGTTAAGCGGTTTATGCCACTAATGCTTTTCACCTGGACTTGCAATATGCAAAGTAGCTCTAAAAAATGCGGTTTCAAGTACTCTCAAGAGATGAACTTCAGGTTTTCAACAGGTTCGACGTACAAAAAAGTCAACCCTGCTTGATTCTTCAATATTTTTTAACTAAAATAGGCAAGAAAAAAGTAATTTTTGTTTTCTTTTTTTAATTTAACATTTTCTGAGTTTTCCTGGTGGAAGCAGCAACTCCTCTCAGAAAAACTTAATTTGCCAGTTTGCGCAGAGAGCTGTTTTGTTTCAGAAGTGTTGTTAAACATACTGTTTGAAGTAAAAAGAGAATTTTTTTAAAGCAATTTTTAGAAATACCATATAACATGACAAATTTTTGTTAAAAATTTTCTTACAGAATAAACAGATGTTGTCATTTCAAACACATCATAGTCGTAAAAATGTATCATTAAATATTTTTATCAGTGTCAGTTATGCAGAAGAACTGAGATATCGGTTCTGGTTATGGTACAAGAGATAACCGTTACTGTCTTACTGTTTAAAATTTTAATAAACCAACCGGCTATACTAAATGATAATACTTTAATTTTAAAAACTTCCATAAGTAGTAAATTTTCATCATTTCTAGAGTAATAATTCCGTTGATTTTATCACCCACTCTAATTGTTGATTCCCACTTATGCATCATTCAATTAGCTAATTAAACTAGTATTTAATAAAATTATTAGCGTTATTCAAGCACTATTTCTTAGGCTTCCAACTATTTCCTCAGTAGTGTTGTAAATAAACACGCTAAAACTATTCCGTACATCTCATTTCATAAACCACCGATTAATGTAGACAGCGGTTATGACGCTCAAACATGGTAGATCTATTTAAATGTCCCTCCAAGAACACATCTTGCTTTTAATAGCGAGACACAACACCAGGTATTTTGATATTATTTCATTCCCAGATTATTTATCATTTAAAATAGTAATGTTATTTCTCGAAGTGAAAAATCAGTCACGTTTTGTTCGGCTTTTGCGTTTTCACCCACTGCAGATACGCAAACCCAAAAACACTTTAGCTATTTCAACAGTTTTTCAACTGTTCCCAATCCTCCCAGATACTGGAGGCACTAAACGTATAGGAAAGCTTTCCCGAGGCAGGAAAAGGAAATAACTGACCGACTACTTCAACGGAGCGTGTGCCGGGCAAAACAAATTGTCTACGAAGAATTTCATGGAAAGTGGAAGAATAACCTGAAGTCGGACAACTTGAACTGTCTACCATTAGAGAATGTTCAAACTATCGAAAAAGAACAGAGAAAGAAAGAATTTAAGACAAAAACTATTCAGACGCTTTAGTTCTCTGGTGTCCTCCTACAGCAAACACGCCAACACTAACGCACAAATAGACCCGAGACAAACAAAACGGACTTTTTAGCCATACGAGCAACTGGTCCGACTGCAACAGGTCACCATACTTTCTCTCCGAAACTTTTCCTGCTGCAAACACATGACCGATAAAACTTTTTACGAACTCAATGATTTTACCGAAAAAAAATACATCGACGCATCGAGAAATGCCGCAAAAAGTGATAAAATTTTTAAACGTTCTTCTGTGCTCACGATTTGTTACTTTCCTGAACGAGGCCGAGGTACTCGAAACGCTAAACGTATAAGAAAATTTTTCCGAGCCAGAAGACGGAAACAAGTGATCGGTTTACTCCAATCGAGACCGTGGCCAGCAAAACTAATTCTCTCTAAAAAATTTCATGGAAACTGGAAGAAGTGAACGATAAGTTAAACTGTCCAGCATCAAAGAATGTTCTAGCCGTCGAAGGAGAACCCAGAGGACGACAAGTCATGACAAAAACTATTTACACCCTTTAGTTCTCTGGCGCGATCCTACAGCAAACCCGTCAACACTAACGCGCAAATGGGCGTGAGACAAATAAAACGGATTTTAAAGAGATACGAGCAACTGGTCCGATTGCAACAGGTTACCAGGCTCTTTC